GAGGGAGGGGAGGCGAGAGGAGGGGGGGGGGGGGGGGGGGGGGGGGGGGGGGGGGGGTCTACAGTCGGTCTGTGATTGAAACCATCTCGTCTGTGTTTGTTGTCTGTGTGTGTGTGTGTGTGTGTGTGTGTGTAGGGGCCTGGTCAGAGACGGCTCCAGGAGCTTTACCAAACATGGTCACAGAGCAGGAGTCACGGAGGAGTTCCTCCTGCTACTGCAGCACACACGCCACCAGGGGGGGTGAGGGGGAGGGGGGGGTCAGTCACGCTCAGAGTGATGACCATCACCTGTGGGCGGCGTTCACACACAGACACCTGCGCCAGGTCTGTTTACGCACCACCGTCAGCTGTTGCTCGTAGACAGGAAGTGATGAACATGACATCACGACCTTTGACCCTTTAACAGGATCTAACGTGTGTTTGGACCGAGCTGTAGGACGTAATTATGGAATCATAAACAGAGGGAGGGGGGCTATTTCAGGAGGAATTTGTGGAATACAGCGTTCCCAGACTTGGTGGGGGGAACGAAAACACTGGGAAAAAAACGACATTCCAGACTTTGGAGAGCCAATAAACGCAGCCCATTTTCCAAGGTGCTTCAGTCTCAGCTGGAGTCGAACGTCTGAAGCAGCGCGTTAGCACGTGGCGTCCAAGAGCCACTTTAGCTTCTTCAGCCAAAGCTGTGTGTGAGACCAGTGTGATTACAGTGGAAATGAGACTCAGTGCTGGTACTGGTCCTGGTACTGGTCCTGGTACTGGTACTGGTACTGGTCCTGGTCCTGGTACTGGTACTGGTACTGGTACTGGTCCTGGTCCTGGTACTGGTACTGGTACTGGTACTGGTCCTGGTCCTGGTACTGGTACTGGTACTGGTACTGGTCCTGGTCCTGGTACTGGTACTGGTACTGGTACTGGTCCTGGTCCTGGTACTGGTACTGGTACTGGTACTGGTCCTGGTCCTGGTCCTGGTACTGGTACTGGTACCGGTACTGGTACTGGTACTGGTACTGGTCCTCAGGTGAACACGGTGGAGGGACCAGGACCAGAGGTCTGAGAGACAAGGACATGTCACCAGGGTCTAATGCAGATCAGATTCCCTTATGCACCTCTAGAGGGAGCCTATGTACTGCCAGTGGTATGCAGACCAGAGTTTGAGAACCACTGTTTTTATTGAAGTGTTTGAGCTGACTTTGATAAGGAGCTTCTAGTGCAGGGATTTGAACCAGGAACCCTCTGATCACATGTCCAACCCACCACCGTGAAGGTACAACGCAGGCAACACACTGGCTTTCTCATCCTGTCCTGCAGGGGGTGGTATAAGTACAGCTGGGTTCTACTGGTGGCCTCAGTGACCAAACCCAGGTTTGTTTGGAGCTTCCTGTCTGTTGGAGCGGGTTGGAGTTATGATGCCGTGGACTCAGAACCTTCTACCATAAATAGACCGACGGAGGACGGAGACGGAGACGGAGACGGAGTTCAGTTCAGAAATGGTCTCTGAGTTTCTGAACAAAACTTTCTCCCTCTGCCTCCCTCACCCGTACATCACCCCCCCCCCCCCCCTCGCCCCCTGCTGCTACACTTTGGCAGCTTTCCTGACTCATGACTAGGCTGTAACTGACTGTAACTCAGTGGTAACTCAGTGGTAACTAGTTAATAACTCGTTGATATAATTTAATCCTTACTCATAAATTATAACCATTATTATTTTTTCTTTAGTTTTAAGTGATTTTTCCAAAGGAGATTTTCTATTATATTTACTTATGTTTATGTTATATTTATTTTTTATCTGTTTATACTGCAGTAAAACGTGGACTGTCCCTTTAAGAACATGTTAACGCTGTGAGAAAAAAAACAAAATCTTTTCTCCTTCACACACAAATAAAAACCACATTATCACTGAATTTCTGCCTGCAGTCAATAAAGCCTGGCTGGTTTATAGACTGGCTGTGAGAGCGCCCTCTCCTGGTTGCCGTCTCCGACCACGTGACTTTGTTCTGCCGCGGTAACGGAGCCCAGATGTGGTCCATTAACCTGTGTGTACGCAGTGGATGTAAACACTTGACGTCAAATATCTGAGTGTCGTCTGTTATATCTGCAGTGAGGGATTCTCCTCACCCCCTCACTGCTCCTCACCCTGGCTGCTCCTCACCCCCTCGCTGCTCCTCACCCCCTCACTGCTCCTCACCCCTCACTGCTCCTCACCCCCTCACTGCTCCTCACCCCTCACTGCTCCTCCCCCGCTCAGTGCCCCACC